ATATATATATATATATATATATATATATTTTTTAGTGCCTAAAGTATATAAATTGTGTACCTGAAGTACACAAAGATTTAATATAAATTATGTTTCTGACAAACATGAAAAAAAGAAAAAAAGTATTTAGTACCTAAAGTACAAAGAAATTTATTGTGATAGGAAAAGGCACATAAATTACAGATCTAAAGTTTGTAAATTAGCATGATGCCAGAAGATCATAATTTAATTTGTAGAGCCTGAAACTCATAAATTATTAAATGCATAAAATTACCAGCAACACTAGAAATATTAATTAATGTCTGCAACATTTTCTCATTATATTCATGGATATTTATATATTTTTTTTGTCAGATTTGTTCAAACCTACAAGTCTATCCGATTAAAGCCTACCTTGAAGAGTCGAGGTCACCAATTCGAATCTGCTATCTAATAATTATTATTATTATAAATTTTTTCACTTAATCTATATGAAAACTAATTATATTGAAGCCCAAAATTATTGAAGGAATCAATCCAATGGCTTTAGAGATTGATCCCACGCTTGCTCCGAGCTGAAAGGCTACAGTGGGGCTTAATATAATAAATTTTACATTTTGACCTCCTTATCTTATAATGAGTACTAGTTAGGTCCCTTAATTTTTGAAATTTCTATTTTCAACAAAAAATTTTCTAGCAGATGTATATACAAATTTCTTTGATGGCAAAGTAATATAAATACATAATATTTTTTATTAATGATACAAGTTTACAAGAAGTACTAGTAAAAACACAAATAAAAATAAACTACAAACAACTCTTCAATAAGATTACATCAAATAAATTTATAGAAATCATGAACATAGTGATATATGATTAGATATTGGAAAAAAAAAATTATCACTACACAGACACTTAAAATACAAAAGAGATAACAAAAAAGAGTTTGAGAGAAATTTATTTCAGTAGATATAGAAGAAAAATTTACTTTCTATGATCTGTATTCTACAATATATATATACACAAGATCGAAGAGATAAATATCTATATGTGATCTTAAAATTCACACCCAAATTAAAATAAAAATATTGAATATTTGTTGTACGCGTGATCAGCCACTACTAATGATGGCAATTTATCAAACATGTTTTATTTTTATCTAACTCAATTATTGTGTTTTATATAGCTTTGCGAAAATGGCCAACATCGCAAAATTAAAACTTTCAGCTCTAGACATCTCAAGTCACAGCTACATGTCATAGGCTCTGGAATACCAGATTAAAAGTGAATACCAGTGTAACAATGATTACACTGGAATTATGTGGTTAACCTGTGTCAAATTCAAACTGTTAAGTTGGGAGAATTAACAAAATATTAGAGATAAACAGACAGTGGTCAACAACTTAACCTACCTCTCATTCATCATTTGTATTTATAGTTACCTTATAATAATAAGAAAGACAGGATACACCCTCTTATATTTACACATAATACCCTAACACTCTTAACAATTTATACATACTACTCTAATACTCTTAACACTCTCCCTCAAGCTGGACTATATATATCATATAATCCAAGCTTGAAACAAATTGCTGTAAGACGTGTACGACTCAATATTTTGGTAAACATATCTGCAAGTTGATCTTTAGATTTCACAAATGGAGTCGTAATCTTCCCGGCTACTATCTTGTCCTGAATAAAGTGACAATCAACCTCAATATGTTTGGTTCTCTCGTGAAACACTCGATTGACAGCGATATGAATAGCTGACTGGTTGTTACAGAACAACTGTAAAAGAAGTTAAACTGGAAACCCAATATCCTAGAGGAAGTGTAATAGCCAAGTCAACTCACTCGTCGTATATGTCATTGCCCTATACTCAACCTCAACACCGAATCTTGCTACCACGGATTGTTTCTTGTGTTTCCATGAAACAATGTTACCTCCTAAGAAAGTACAATAACCAGTGGTTGATCTCCGATCAGAAGGAGAGCTAGCCCAATCAACATCTAAGAAACTATCCACTCTAAAATGTCTAATAGCTCGATATAACAGTCCAAATCCAAAAGCACATTTGAGATATCGCAGAATATGAGTAACTGCCTCTCAATGTGGTACTCTAGGATACTCCATAAACTGACTTACTATATTGACTGCATAGGAAATATCTGATCGAGTAATAGTGAGATAATTGAGCTTCCCAACCAACCTGCAATACCGACCCGGATTCTCAAATAGTACACCATCATCCATCAAAAATTTTTGAATCGGATCCATAGGAACATCAATAGGTCTGTCACCCAACAAACATGTTTCCTCCAACATGTCAAGTATATATAATCTCTAGGATAAACAAATACGTTGTTTAGATCGAGCCACCTCAATACTCAAGAAATACCTGAGTTTTCTCAAATCCTTAATATGAAACCCGATCCTGTAAGAATATTTTTAACTTGGCAATCCCCTCAGAATCATTTTCAGTAATCACAATATCATCTACATAGACCACCAATAGAGCATATCCAGCATCTGTCTGTCTGTGAAACACAGAATAATTTGTCTAACATCAAAGAAGACCAAACTCTAAAACTGCATCTGAAAATTTACCAAACTATGCCCTCGGTGACTACTTCAAATCATACAAAAAAATTTTTAAACGACATACACTCACCATACTCCCCTTGAGCAATAAACCCAAGTGGTTGCTCTATGTATACCTCTTCAACCAAGTCACCATGTAGGAAAGCATTCTTGACATCTAACTGAAACAAAGGTCAATTAAGATTAGCAGTAAAAGAAATCAAGAGACGAACAGAGAAAATTTTGGCAACAAGAGAGAAAGTCTCCTCATAATCAACACCATAAGTCTGAGTAAAGCCTTTTGCAACAAGCCGGGCTTTGAAACGCTCCACAGAACCATCCGAATGAAATTTAACAGTATATACCCAACGATAACCAACAGTTCGTTTACCAGAAGGTAAAGGAACGAGATCCCAAATCCTATTATGATGTAAGGCATTCATCTCCTCCTCCATAACTTTCCTCTAAGCCATATCAGATAATGCATCTTGTAAATGCTTAGGAATAGATATAGTAGATAATTGAAAAGTAAAATAAAAGAAGACAGGAGACAAGACATCATACAAAACAAAATGAGCAATGGGATGATTAGTAACACACGAACGAGTACCAAGATCAGAAAGAGGCAAAGAAGACGGTACGAGCACCTCAGTTGATGGGCGAGGACGGCGAAAGTAGACACGGAGAGATAAAATAGATGATAACACAATGGACAGCGAAATATCTGAAGATGAGGAAAGAGATAGTACAAAAGATGATCCAAAATTCAAATCCAAAGATTGAGAAAGTGCTGAAAAATATGGAACAGATTTCTCAAACGTGACATCGACACTAATAAAGTATCGGCGCAGAGGACTATAGCAACAATACCTTTTCTGCGTGCAGGAGTAACCAAGAAATACACATTTGGTAGCTCGAGGGTCAAGCTTGTCAAACTCAAGACCCAAATTGTGAACATAACAGACACATCCAAAAACCTTAAGGGTCAGGAAAAATAATAGCTTACTAGGAAAAAGGACAAAATATTGACTTTGTCCATTTAACACAGAGGATGGCATACGATTAATAAGTTGACAAGCAGTAAGAACAGCATCAGTCCAAAAATATCAGAGAATATTCATCTGGAATAACAGGGCACGAGTGACTTCCAACAAAAGACGGTTCTTGCGTTCAGCAACGTCATTCTGTAGAGGTATAAGTACAAGAAGTCTGATGAATAATGTCAGTGTTACTAAGATAAGCTGAAAAATGATCAGATTCATATTCCTGAGCATTATCAGAACGTAAAATACATATATGACAAGCAAACTGAGTTTTTATTTCCTTACGAAAGGTCTCAAATATAGAGAATAATTCAAACCGAACTTTCATCAAAAACAACCAAGTCACACAAGAATAGTCATCCACAAATGTCATAAAATAAGGATATTTATTAGATGAAATATTCTTTATTAGACCCCATATATCAGAATGTGCTAATTCAAATGGACTAGACACACTATTATTGATTTTAGACTGAAATGACACACGGTGATACTAAATTGACAAGCTTCACAAGACAAAGACGACACATAACTAAGACTGGGAACTTGGCGTTTCAGATTCTAGAGAGAAGGATGTCCAAGACGACAATGCCATTGAAAAGGAGATAACGAGGTCTATAAAGCCCGGATAGGTGAATCAAAGTCAAAGTAATATAGGCCACCAGCTTCATGCCTCGTACCAATCTTCCTCTTCGTCTTGAGATCTTGAAAGACACAATAACAGAGATAAAAGATTACAGAACAATTGAGAGAACGGATAATCTTGCTAATGGAAAGTAAACTAAAAGAAAACTGAAGAACAAATAACACAGAAGATAGAGACATATCAGGACTCAAGTGAGTAGTCCCCACGCCTAAAATTTTAGAACAAGTACCATTAACAAGAGTAACACTACATGTAAAAGTAACGGACTAATAAGTAAAATAAACATCAGACACACCAGTCATGTTGTCAGAAGCGCCAGAATCTGATCCAAGGACTATGAGTGGAGGATAATAAACAAGAAGAAATAGTATCTAACTAGGCAAAAGTAACAGTGGTGGGAGATGGGACAGACAGTTGCTGGAATAGAAACTGAGTATACTCCCCTCGTGTAATAGTAACCGACCTAGTGTTTGGTGGAGCTGACCAAGGTATGGAAGCAATATCAGATATGTCATCCTGATAAAAAGCCTGATTCGCAGCACCAGAAAGTTTTTCATGTAAATCCTAATAAAAATCAACAGTGTGCCCTCCATGACCTCAATGAGTACAGGAACGAGGTCCACTACGACCCCCACGACCACCCATACGACCTCTTGTACGACCTCCTTGACCACCACGAACACCATGTCCACCTCGATGACCATCACTATGACTAAGAGGAACCACAAGAGCCGAGCAATCGGTGGAGACACCATGATCGATGCCTGAAGACATCGTAGACAAAATAGCACGTTGTATACGAGAGAAAACCTCAAGTAGTAAGAGAAGACTAGAACCACCCAAAATCTGAGAACGAATAGCCTCATATTTAGTTTTCAATCCTACCAAAAACTTAACAACATTCAGGTCCTCATGTTGCTTCTACCAAACTGCTGAATCAGTAGTAAACGGATGGTAGGTCTTCATCTCCTCACAAACTTCCCAAACGCAAGAGTAATAATCCTCAATGCTCAGGGTACCCTGCTCCAGTCGGAAGTACTCCTTACATACCTCATAAGCTTAGGTAAAATTACCTATACCAGAATACATTGTGGCCAAGTGATCCCATATCTCTTTGGCAGTGTTAAGATAGAGCAGAGTAGAGCTAATACTAGGCTCAATGCTATTCAATAATAAAGAGATAATCTAAGCATCCTCTTGTTACCACTGATCATACCCAAGAGTGTCTTCCTTAGGTTTAGGATTAACCAGATATTTCTTAAAATCTTTTCCTCAATGGAAGACTTGAACAAAACGGGACCATAAATTATAATTGGTCCCATTTAATTTAACGAAAATCATGGGACCATTAAGAAGAGTCGAAGGAGCAGAAGTAAGTGGTAAGGATGGAGCAAGGGTGTTAGCATCTTGCTTGGGTTCATAACAGCGCAACAATAGTAAACAAGAGAATCTTACAGATTGGTTGGGCTACTAGATGACTGAAAGCAAGAGGAGTGCACTGGACTGTTAATCGAACTGGGAGAGTTTGCTGAACAATTGAACCGGACAAGAAAAATTTGTTGGACTACTAAACCGGACAGAAGAAGTCTACTGGACTGCTAAACCAGACAACAAATGGCCACTAGACCACTGAACCGGACAAGGAATGGCCACTGGACCAGACAAGAAATGGCCACTGGACCGCTGAACCGGACAAGAAATGGCCAGTAGACCGCTGAACTGGAGAAAGAATAGATGGAACCAGTCTGAACCAGTGTACCCTTCACTGTACCAGGACTGAACTGGGACTGAACCGGGTTGAACTAGACATGGACCGGTCTGGTTTGGTCTAGTCTGGTCTGGATTTTACTGGAACTGGGCTTGGATCTGGATTCTGCCACCCAAACCGGCAACTAACCCAATTGAAATGGATTGTCTTCTTCACCAACAAACCCTAATGCTCCTCCACAGTTGACGGCGCTTGGTATCCAGCAACACCACCACGCAGCCACACAACACAACCACGCAGCCATACACATAACAAACGTCACACCCAAACCTCTTTGACTACCACTAGACAATCACACCAGTCGACAGCGACTACCACCACCGCCACCAACGTCGACCTCCTTCTCACACCCAACCACCGACGATGACGACGACAGTAGGCATAACAACAACAACGATGAACCCTTGATTTAATATTTGGATTTAAAATTATTTTGCTCTGATACCATATTAAGTTGGGAGAATTAACACAATATTAAAGATAAACAGAAAGTGGTCAAAAACTTAACATACCTCTTATTCATCACTTGTATTTATAGTTACCTTACAATAATAAGAAAGACAGAATACACCCTCTTATATTTACACATAATACCCTAACACTTTTAACAATTTATACATACTACCCTAATACTCTTAACACAAACAATTAAAGATATATTTCATATTCCACGCGTCAAATATTTTATTACAATAACAACATAAGCAACATGGGATCAATATAATGAACTCATAAAATATCTATTAATTGCCGAGAAGAATAATAAATTACTAACGAAGAATCATAAGTCTCGTCTAACTAGCCACTAAGCCTTTTCAAAAGTGATGTCACATCTTTTCGTGGTCAATAACGAGGTCGTGGTTATGGTCATGGTAAAAATAAAAACAATGTCAACGGGGGAAACTTGTACTTTTTTCCCTTCACTAAGGTTTTTTTTTTTGCACTGGATTTTACTTGGCAAGGATTTTAACGAGGCAATACTTAGGATTCCAACTATCAAGGGAGAATCTTATCATGAGGAGCATCCATATCAAAATAGAGGACAATTTACATGTACTCTTTTTCCTTCATCTAGATTTTACCCACTAGACTTTATTATAAAGGTTTTAATGAGACAACATTCGTGCATTCATCACTATCTTAGTATAGTGACCATCCAATGGGAAGCTTTGAAAAATTAGACATTGGCATGTGGGTGGATGCCCACAGCCTTTATGCTCATTAAACCCATTGTCTACCTCTTCGATCGACGGCATGTATCTTGTACCTATAAAGGCTTCTTCACTTGGAATGAAACACACACTGAATAGAGAAGCAAAAATCCTTCTCACTTTTCAGTATTTTCTCTATATTTTTTTTTCGAATTAATTATTTGCACCTAAATAATTTGCTAGTTTTATAACAATCTTTAGTTCCATCCTTTTTTGTCTTTGTGTTTTTGGGAGGGGGGATGATCAAGTAGTGGGAGGGATTTTCCAGTCGGAACTGCAGCCCAACAAACAAAATAGTAGGCTCAATAAATGCAAGCAGGAGTTCTCCATATGGAGTAGTTGAACCCTCTGAGGGTGATAGTAAACAGTCAGCCCAAAGCAGAGATTGTCCAGGCAGCAAATCTAATCGAGCATTGGCTTCTCGAGGAGTGAATGACTGGGCATTTTCCAAAATTTCAAGTTCTCTGCAGCTACATATCAGGCTTCAGTTTTATTCAAAATGGGAGGTGAGATTCCTTCAGGCTTTGCATAATTGCTTGCAAGCCTGACTCCATGATTGGGTCTGTAACTCTCCCTCCCAAACTGTTTCGTCGCCTGAGATGTGACCCAGAGTTCTGCAGCCAGTCACATCCCATCAACCAATTTTCAGGTGTAGCCACATGCTGTGCTAAAGCCATATTAGATAAATTTAATCAAAAGAAAATAAGTAATTAAGAAAAAAGTGCAGAATTGCAGTAAATAAACATAATCTGGCCAATATGAACCCGCAACTAATGCTCCTTACAAACTCATGCTCACAGTAAGAGCAAGATTAGTCTAACAACAGACTTCTACCTAGGATTTAATATGTGGAAAGTTAAACATTATTGTTGATCCATATTTCAATGAGCTGTTCCATAATTTTTAGGAGCAGTAGGAGAAAATAGTATAAAAAAGATTGGAGGAATGACTTCAAATGATTTTCACAAAATTTTCATTTCCAATGTGTAATAATTATGTTCATCATGGCACAAACAAACCTGCATCCAAAGAAGCCTCTGTTTGCTGATAAACCAGAAGGATGTGCTGCTTTAAGAATGTGGTGCTTTTTCTCATCGATCAACCTGTATTACATCTTCACTATAAGCATGGAGCAAAAGTTCGAATTTATTCTTAAATTATCCCATATCATGCTTACATTTCCTAACAAACAAACAAAAGCCAAAACACCCAGCTATGTCAATTTTCTCTCCTTAAAACTTAATGAAGGCCCTTTACCCGTTTGGTCCCCAATATTAGAACGGGGCTTGCCGCAGGATGTTCTGGGTATAGACCTAACTTTTGGTGTTATTTGCAACAATTGACTTCCGATCTGGTTATGCTTACAACCCTACCAGAACTTCACTATAATCTCACTTAAGGTCTGTTTCTATGAAACATTCCTCTCTTCCGCATATGAAAATTGATCTCCACAACGAAGTTTGAGGGCATTAACAGCAAGATGGAATGTCAAATTAAATGAAATCCTTGTTGAAAAGATGCATGATGAGGCAAGCATAAAGAAAGAGTCATCTGCAAGCTCTAAGAAAAAAAAAAATTTGATAGGAAACAATAAATTTTATTAGTAAATAATCAGAGAAAAAATTACAAAATCCTATATCAAGTGGATAAGACATCTTTAATAGAATTAGGGTCTAGAGAGACGGAGAAGAGTGAAGGCAGAAAACATATCTCGCCCACTCTCATCCATGTATATAAATGCTTATAAAAAACAAGTAAAATTCTCCTATTTACTATAACAACATCCAACCCTAACATTGATGAAGACAACCATCATAATAGCAAGAGAACAATGGAAGATGATTATGCTACATTCCACACAAGGCTGTCCAACTCGCAGTAATTCAGAAAAGTGGAATATTTGCAAATTCCTCAGTTACAAATGTCCAAAAAGAAGCCAAGAAAAACATCCGGTCCTATAAGTCTTCCACCTCCTCACTTTTGTCCTCAAATATCGTTGTGTTCCTCTCAAACCAAATGACCCAAATAGTAGCGAAAAAAGAACACAGCCAAAGGGTTTTCATCATCCTATTTCCTCCCCACCCCGGAGCATCCAAACCAAGCATTGCACACATGGATCTAGGCGCCACCCAACAAAGTCCCACAAGATTAAACAACTTGTTTCAAAGTGAGACCGTTGTGGGACAAATCAAAACTAAATTATCCACAACTCACCATCATTTCTACACATTATACACCACTGCGGAAGAAAACAAGTCTTAGGTCTCCTTCTCTTCTGTGAGCAATCGACCATCCATAAAGGTGCACCTTTAAAGGCATCCAGGCTATCCAAATCCTTAATAATGGAAGAAAATACTGGAGGAGTGGAAACATCAATTAAAGACAAAAATATTTACATGAAAACACACCCATTGGATCAATAACCCCACATATACTGTAAATCTTATTTTGGATCAAAGAAACCCTACTAAGCGTAGAGAAAAGCGCCAATAACTCCGAACATTCTCTATCATTAAGACTCCTTCAGAATCCAAAGTCCAAAGAAACTAAGAAAGAGAAAGACCGAACAAGAGAAGCAATGCAAGGACCATTATAGCCGAAAACTCTATAAAGATGATAAATAAACTTCCATGCACTCTGGCAGCTTCCGAGTCAATCCCGAGTCACCGAATTGACCGATATGGTTCCGCGACACTGTGATATATCCTGAATTTCTCATCATATTCAATATTTTCTTCTAAATTGTATCACCCGATACCGCGCCGCGATGCCGCGACTAATGTGTTTCAAAACTCTCCTAGTTGATGACTGATATCGCAACCTTGAACCATGATACACTCTGAAAGCTTCCCCTTTCAACCCCATTAGCTTGTAACTCATACTTGCTCCTAAAAACCGTGTGTCACAATGAATCTTGCTCCAATGGGNAAATTACAAAATCCTATATCAAGTGGATAAGACATCTTTAATAGAATTAGGGTCTAGAGAGACGGAGAAGAGTGAAGGCAGAAAACATATCTCGCCCACTCTCATCCATGTATATAAATGCTTATAAAAAACAAGTAAAATTCTCCTATTTACTATAACAACATCCAACCCTAACATTGATGAAGACAACCATCATAATAGCAAGAGAACAATGGAAGATGATTATGCTACATTCCACACAAGGCTGTCCAACTCGCAGTAATTCAGAAAAGTGGAATATTTGCAAATTCCTCAGTTACAAATGTCCAAAAAGAAGCCAAGAAAAACATCCGGTCCTATAAGTCTTCCACCTCCTCACTTTTGTCCTCAAATATCGTTGTGTTCCTCTCAAACCAAATGACCCAAATAGTAGCGAAAAAAGAACACAGCCAAAGGGTTTTCATCATCCTATTTCCTCCCCACCCCGGAGCATCCAAACCAAGCATTGCACACATGGATCTAGGCGCCACCCAACAAAGTCCCACAAGATTAAACAACTTGTTTCAAAGTGAGACCGTTGTGGGACAAATCAAAACTAAATTATCCACAACTCACCATCATTTCTACACATTATACACCACTGCGGAAGAAAACAAGTCTTAGGTCTCCTTCTCTTCTGTGAGCAATCGACCATCCATAAAGGTGCACCTTTAAAGGCATCCAGGCTATCCAAATCCTTAATAATGGAAGAAAATACTGGAGGAGTGGAAACATCAATTAAAGACAAAAATATTTACATGAAAACACACCCATTGGATCAATAACCCCACATATACTGTAAATCTTATTTTGGATCAAAGAAACCCTACTAAGCGTAGAGAAAAGCGCCAATAACTCCGAACATTCTCTATCATTAAGACTCCTTCAGAATCCAAAGTCCAAAGAAACTAAGAAAGAGAAAGACCGAACAAGAGAAGCAATGCAAGGACCATTATAGCCGAAAACTCTATAAAGATGATAAATAAACTTCCATGCACTCTGGCAGCTTCCGAGTCAATCCCGAGTCACCGAATTGACCGATATGGTTCCGCGACACTGTGATATATCCTGAATTTCTCATCATATTCAATATTTTCTTCTAAATTGTATCACCCGATACCGCGCCGCGATGCCGCGACTAATGTGTTTCAAAACTCTCCTAGTTGATGACTGATATCGCAACCTTGAACCATGATACACTCTGAAAGCTTCCCCTTTCAACCCCATTAGCTTGTAACTCATACTTGCTCCTAAAAACCGTGTGTCACAATGAATCTTGCTCCAATGGGAATATCTAAAGTCATTTACCAACCATAGTTATGTTCCTTTCCAACAAATTTCCAATCGAAGGGCCACCCTTAGCTTTAGGCCTAGTCATAATCTCCCAACAAGTTAAGTAATCCTTGCTATCGTCTCCCACCCTTCCCACAAGAAATCTCTCATCAATCATTCAATACTCTTAGCAACCATACAATGCATCTTTAAAAGAGACATAAAACATATTGGTGTACTAGCCAAGACAGATTGAAACAAGGTTAATATACCTACCCTTAAAATAAAGGCTATCTTCCGTCCATCTAATCTTTTCTCCATTTTCCCTGTGACAATATTCCAAAAAGATCTAGACAACGGATTACCTCCAAAGATAAGACCAAAATACTTTAAGGGCCAACTACCCACTAAGCATCCCAACTTCCCAGCCAACCTATAAATTTTGTTATGCTTGGCATTATATATGTATATGTTGCTTATGATATATACTTGGTGTATTGATGTGCATTCATATCATATGCATTGGAATTAGAAGGTATTCGCCATATGAGATTCCCTACTGGGCTTCAGCTCACCCCGTGTGGGAACATTTTTCATCTGTTGGACAAGCTCCAACAAATGGGTTGTGGTTCGTGAATTACATTTTCTAGTCCATTGTATAATTTTGTTTTGACTTTGTCTAAATTATGTACAAATCTTGTACTTTGACAATAGCATATAATGGGACACTCTTGGACATTATTATTTTGTAAACAAATGAATATAAAGGATGTTGTATGAGTTGGTATGATCAAAGGTTAAAAATTGAGAAATTTGAAAAAATCTGGGCCGGAGGTACTGGTACCTCACAGGTACCAACTTTCAGTGGGCTCAGGTACCGGTACCCATACTCCCAAGTACTGATACCACGCTATCGAGAGCTCAGGTACCAATACCACGTCTTACAAATATCAATATTTGACAACTAGACTAGTACCCACTTACTCGAGGAACTGGTACCTCTTCTCAAAAAAATTAAAATTTGAATTATAGCATTGATGAACCTTCACATCTTGAGCTCTTTCCATTGGATGATATAAATGGTCAAACTTTAAATCTTAGATTTGGGGTTTGTACCTTGAAATGGTCATATGATTAATATGTGAACAAGTTATGTGTTGGATAGTAATTTCGCACAAATGAGAATCTACCCAAATTCTATTTTAGTTATGATCCCGGTGAATAGAGTGTAATCACATGATGTCGAGTTATATGGTACTCACGGGTATTTTTAAGGGTTGATGGGTGATCAACGGGTTGAGAAATGACCTCCAAATTTTGGAGCATCACAACTTCACCAATGGATAATGAAGAATTTCAAAGACTAATGACAGGTCCACCAAAACGTAAGCAATCTGTCATTCTCACTACTAGTATTGATGATGATTATAATGGTGAAAACAGGAATGATGATGAAGGTCAAGATGATAATCATGATAGTGGTGGTGGTGATGACGGTCAAGGTGGTGATAGTCTTGGACATGGTGATAATGGAGGTGGTGGTGATGAAGGTACAGGACGCCAAAGTCCACATGGAGTTATATTCATTATATAGGAAGGATTTACACATGCTACACAAGATGAGGATCGCTCTCGACAAATTCTTCAATATGAACGACGCTCGAGTCAAAATCCTTGACATGAGCGTACTCAAAATCTGATCACTCGACATGGTATGGATGCTATTAGGCATAGAATTGATATGATTAATGATAATTTTTCTACTATGAGTTTAAGTAAAAGTGAAAGTGAACACCATAATTATAGTTCGTCGTCTTTATATGGTTATGGTTCTTGATATAACATTCTCTTATATGATTATGGATCGGGATATGACTCATGAGAATACAAATATGGATCCTCAACATATGGCTATGGATCTAGTCATGACTCCCGGACATCCTCCTCATATAGGCAAGATGAAAGTTAGCCAGGAACTAGTGCATTCTTTTTCCAGCAGATTAGATATAGTGTTGTAGACTATCAGAGGTTCAAGACAGAGTCTGATTCATATTATCATAATAATATGAGTTGGACTAACTATTATCATGATATTTATATGATATATGGAGTTTCTCTAAGTGACTACCCAGAGCCTACACCGATGTATGAGTCTCCTTGACACTTCACGACAGGATGGATGTAATCATGTAATTATGTACTCATTAGCACTTCATTTGTATTATGAGACCTTAACATTATGTAAAAATGTGTTTGCTTGATAAAAATTAAGTGTTTGAAATTAATTGAAGTGATTTTCGCCTCGTGCCAAGTTTTTTTTCCCTCCGACTTGATGTTATCTTGTATAAATAGATGTTAACCCGATAAACATGCTCAATTAATCAATTATTAAGCTTATTTGTATAAATAAATAGATTGTATTTGTGTTTTTACATGTTTCTATATTTTTTCAACGTTTTCAAAACGTTTCTATTTTCAAGCCGACCAAAACGATACTCCGAAACGATATTTCAATCCTTACTTTTAAATAAATAAAGCATAAAAAAAACAAACAAAAATAAGCCGGTAACATATTGCCCAAAAGTTAACTTTATAGAATTCAAAAATCCAGCTATTACAGAAGCTGACTACACAAAACATGATGCTGGCACCAAGTAAACTCTCCTTTTTTCCTTAAGATAGTTTATGTCCTCTGCCACATACGCATCTAAAGTTCTGCATCTGAATGGCCTGTCAATTTCCTTGTATTCTTTTAACTATGTAAATTAAGCAAGTTTCTTCTAGTAACAAAGAGATGTTACTACGTCAAAAATGCCATAACTAGCAGTTATGTTGATGCTTTCAAACAAGTCCATCATGGCAAGTGTATTTTTTGGTATCTTAACTATTTTTATTAATAAGACTCCACAATTTCGTGGCTAATTAGCATGAAACATTGATAAATGTAGTATAGGAGTAGCTCCTATTTGAGATCTAATGGCATTTGATTTAAACAGAAAATAAAATTCTCTACAAAGCCAAGCTTGCCAAGTGAAAATACCTGGTCTTTGCCTGAGCATAGTTTCCCCATAGAAGGAATACAATTCCTCTTCTCTTTTTTGAAATTGTTTCAATGACAGCATCAGTGAATTGCTCCCACCCTTTTTTTGCATGAGAGTTTGCCTGATGCTGCCTAACTGAAAATGTTATTAGAAAATAAATGAAACAAAAAGGTTAATATGACAAATCAAAACAGAGAACATTATTATAGCCCTAAACAATGTCATAACAAAGAAAAATAAAAAAGGAACTACAAAAAGATTCTCAGATAATAGCATTGAGGTCGAGAAACAATGGATGGAAGTAAATGTGAATACAATGTCAGGTCCTAAAAGAAGAGAAAGAGGGGAAGGGATAGGACCACTCTAAATTTACTCCTATTTGAATGTTCTCTCGTTTTGCTTGGAGTTTGGTTCTTTGACCTCTTTCTTAATTAATTCAAACCAAAGGCATTTTGTTCATTTTATCTTTTCACTAAGTAAGCTCAATTCAAATAAAGTGTGCGCGATAGGATGACCAAAAGCCTAAGTTAGATCAGTCAAGTCCAAGGCAGAACCCCTGTTCATCAGAAGCCAGTCAATCAACCCTGGTCAACTGGCTAAGAGCTAGTCAACTGCCCAGATTCTAGCAGTCCCCCCATTTCTGTTTAGGCACTTTTTTTTTTCGATTCAATTGTACCCAATTCCAAAGTGCTCCACACATGGCATTAAATATGTTCCAACATATGACTCAAATATGATACCATATTAATCCACAATACTTAATCAAATTAAGCTCAAATAGTATTTTATATAGATTTCACGTCCGTAAAGAAATTCCATCATACATGATACAATTTGCTCAAGTAGACATGCTTAATATAAAAATATACAATGACCAATAAGAAACACATGATGTATAGCAATTTGGTTAATCTTTTAGCCAACATCCACTCTTTCACCTACAAGACTCCCCTAAATGGGATTAAATAGGGCATGGTGAAGGTTTTACTCTTGTAACCTGCAACCTAAAACAACCACAAACTCTACACTCTATTGAAGACCTAGTACATATTTTGGCCCGTAGAGAACAAGTATTGCATAACAGGACCATTCCATTGATAAAAGTTTTGTGGAGAAGCCTCTAAACATAATGCAAAACATAGTGCAAAGCAAGTGTACGGCATACAAGAGTATCACTAATACACAATTAAGTGAAAGAGAATCACATTTACAATGAAAAGCTTAGGCCAAGGATGTCCTCTTCATAGTGAACACCAGACTCTCTTTGGGTTGAGGGGAAAAATGATCATCTTTCCTCTTTCTCTGTCCTAGGTCTTCAATGTGGTGTATGGGGACCCCAAAATCCATCAACCTTCCTCTGTTGAAGATTGTATTTATAGGCTGGAGGTCCAATGGTTAGCTAGTGGCTAGTTTCCTAAACCAGATGGACCTAGTCGACTGGCTTCAAGGCTGATCGACTAACCCTGGTCAACCAGCATCAGGGTTGGTCGACCAGCATCTGTTCAAAAGTCAGCAGCCTACTGCCAATTTCAAGGACAGACCAGTCTGAACCTAGGTAAGTGTGCTTAACTTACAAATGTGATCTCCTACACCTAGACACGACTTGCTATGAGCTTGAAGTTTTCCAAAAATGACAAAGTCTGATGAGCTATAGATTCTTTCTCCTTTTTTGTCACCATGCATCCATAACTCTTCCGAATGGTGTTTTCATGACAGTACAACCTAAAGCTACAATACAAGCCATGAAATTGCCAAGCTATGGTCCTCAACCTAACATACAATAAGTAGCACAAATCTTCCATACAAAATATAGTATGGCTCTGCTGAATTTGACATGTAGATTGAGTATGGCTCTGCTGAATTTACATGTACAGTCAAATTCGGCAACATCCCTAACATGATACATTGGGTCAAAGCCAAAGCATCACAGTTGTGAGTTATCAATTGGCAAATTCTCTGATCTATTAAGTTGATAAGGCATCTGGTAATTTAACTTCCTCTCTCTGCTGATTTTTTAAATTTTCTGTCCTATAAAGATGAATTGCAGAAGTTTTCTTGAGGCACTTTAGTCAAGAAAAAATGTACTCTTTCTTACATCAAACATACCCATCAGAAATGATTCAATAGCAGCCATGTCCAACACAAATGACATACCTACATTCATGTCATGTCATATTGCAAATGTATTTCACATATTCTAAATGGGTCAAATTTCTCCTTAATCTTTCTCTTTTGCCTAAATCCTAAAATGGTATCAAAGCAACCAACATCCTACCCTCCTTTTTCCTTTCTATTTGTAATTCCTATTTCTGTTTGATCCCCTATTGTTTCCTGTTTAAGCTTCACAGTTTCTGGTCATCGGCGAGTCATAATTTCAACCAGGCTACTGTCACAGATTTCATCGTTGGCAGCATCCACAAGCTAAGCCAAGACAGCAAGTCACATATTTGACCGTCACCACAGATTTCTTGTCTTTGTGCCTTCTCCAATCATTTATGTGCATGGCTATTTGGAAACATTGGTAGTTTAGCCTCTAGAAAAACTGATTGCCGAATACTTGTACACACCAGAGAATATCATCATAAATACAACATCATGACAGGTAAAACTAGGATGCAATTTCAATATCAAACTAGATTTAGATGAAAAGTAACCATGAAATAAATCAGCCTGCAACTTCAGAAAAATAACAACACTTGCAGTGGAAATCAAGCACCGCCACCACATTTTTAAGATCAGCGGCATTCAGCCTCGTAAGGTGACGTAACCAAACTGGTTTAAATTAAAATGTTAAAGAAAATGGCAGAAATATGACAATTTATGATAGCACCAGGTAGAAATGGAAATGCAGGTAAGAAAATGGTTCCAGAAATGCTAGAGTTATCATTCATTTCGAGTTAAAATTTACAGCAATAACAAAATAACAATACAATCAAATATCTGAATTTCATTTCAAAACTATCAAAAAGATTCTATTTTATAGAAACAGAACGAATTAGGATCGGATGTCGAATTTCTATATTTTGAAATGTTCCGTAATATTTTCGAGTATTTCAAAAATTTTCAAAAACAAATTTTTAAATTTTTTTCCTAGTTCTTATTCTGTCGCCTAAACGTTTCCGATTCCTAGGTAAATGAAACAATGCACTAAAATGAAATTTTGATCTACTAGGATCATGTTTGTAATTTGGCTAATTTCGTAAAGCTTAGGACAAAAGTAATAATCTTAGAAACCTTTGACCCTTGGTTTTATTTTAGATTTAAGATGATTAAGGTGAATAAAATAGAATTGAGATATTATCTGAAAATGAATCATAGGGTTTTTATTGAAAATATTTTATAAACCTTAAATATGTTTTGAATTAATAATTTGAGTCATTTATTGGATTCTACTTGACCAATACCCTCTAGTACTTAAGAGGATAAGTTTTCGCCTAATTTTTGTGTTAAAATCTAGTAGGGACCACCCTCTTCTCGCTTGTCTTCGACTAGCGCGCTATTCGATAAGTTAGGGATAGAATAGGAAAAACCTTTGAATTGGACTATAGAGACCACCCTCTGGGTTGCTCTCCGCTTGAGCAGTCCCAAGAAGGCTCAAGCAATCTCTACTTGCCAAATCTAGTTTAGATCCTTTTTTCATTCCAATGACAACCGCTCTTCCACTGTTTGAGCAGTTGTTCGGGAATTTAGGTATACTTGGCCTTCAAACTCGACCTAATTCTGAGCCTATAAAAAAGGAAGTATTCTAGAGCTAGGGCATCTCACTTGTGAGCCTAAATTCAGTCAATCATACCTTTAGAGATCACCATAAACCCTAAATCCCTAAGAGACTAAAGCAAATCCATCTTAAGACTCTTATCCAACTTCACACATTGGAAAAAAGACCTTATTTGGAGATTTACCAAAACCCACTTTGAAGAAGTGTATATTCTGAGGATCTTGGCAGAGAAGATTCCTCGAAACCTAAGCGATCCATTGCGATTGAAGCATTCAAGTGAAGCTATCCATAACATCAGACATAAATTTTTGGTAGAGAGATCTATTGAAGGAAATGAGCATCTAACCCTGTTATTAGTTGTGGTATAAGATTTGAATACTAAAAGATTAATCTTGAGATAGTGGATTAGGCTTCGGTAAACTCCAAGTAGCTTTTTCCCATTTAACTTTCCGCGTCAACAATTGCTTGAAATCTTATTTACTTTAAATTCACTTGCACACTTGCAATTTTGCACACACGCGCACTATGAATTTGATGGTTTGATTGTTTATCATTCAATCATGAAAAAGGGTGGTTCTAGTGAGTTTGCCTTGACTGGGATTGCTGTGAGAAATTGAGTGTCAATCGTTAATTGAAATATCATAACATTCAATCTACATGACGAGGTTTATAGGTTTGTAAAAGGAGTTCAATTACTTAATTGGCAAATCATTCGTCGAAGAAAAATGCTATTTGGATCTAATTTGGGTACCTAATTCAATATAACCATTGGATCGGTAGTGGGCTCCATCTAACATGGGAATTCACAACTAATCTAATGATTACATTGAACCTACATCATTATGTCCTCAAATTAAGTCCCCAAATTAAGCCCCAGTGCATTGCTCTTCATCGAATTGGTAATTGTGGTGTTTTAGGTTAACATTGGTGTTTGTTCTAACTTAAAATTAGATTAACCTATTCACCCCATCCTCTAAGTTGTGTCTTAACCTCACGTGTTTCATCGTGAGAGACAATTCCCGTACATCGTGTTTCCCCATGATCCATAAATACAATTATTAGAGCTACTTGAGTTTTGTTGAAGGGTCTCAATTGACATCTTCCAAGTGCCATAGCATAAGCATACAAAAGAATTCAAAACAAATCAGTTGCATCACTTAATGGTAAACTCAGAAATGATGAAAAAAAAAAGATGAAGAATCTTACCAGTAAGAACAGCGTTAAGCAACAAAACACCCTGAAAAATCATAGTAATAATGTCATGCAATAATTTTTTGTAACAATACCAGTTAAACTTTACATGACATTTCATATGAAATAGAATATAATAGAATCTAAGAAAAAAAAGATTTACTAGCAAACACAAAATATAATCCACCTTAATGCCAAAAAAGTAATAAAAATAACAAACAATAAACAATTGCCTTGATATGATTCCTGCTATGTAATGATTCAGTTATGGATTTATATTATCTCAATGTGTGTTCATATGTTTTATATTGCCTATCATATCACAATTCAGTGCATTGACCTTCTAATAAACCTAGACACAATACAGTACAAAATATGACAATCAAACAATGGAAAAATATAAAACAGTACAAAAATAATCAAGAAATAGAACTGTAAAAATTTCAATGATTGAAGATTTTGCTTGAAAACAATTTTTAAAAAAAAACAAAACAAAACAAAACCTCCATTAAATACAAAAAGTAGTACACATTAGTGGACAAGAAATACACCTGATGAAAAACTAAAAAAAAAAAAAAATNAACCATTGGATCGGTAGTGGGCTCCATCTAACATGGGAATTCACAACTAATCTAATGATTACATTGAACCTACATCATTATGTCCTCAAATTAAGTCCCCAAATTAAGCCCCAGTGCATTGCTCTTCATCGAATTGGTAATTGTGGTGTTTTAGGTTAACATTGGTGTTTGTTCTAACTTAAAATTAGATTAACCTATTCACCCCATCCTCTAAGTTGTGTCTTAACCTCACGTGTTTCATCGTGAGAGACAATTCCCGTACATCGTGTTTCCCCATGATCCATAAATACAATTATTAGAGCTACTTGAGTTTTGTTGAAGGGTCTCAATTGACATCTTCCAAGTGCCATAGCATAAGCATACAAAAGAATTCAAAACAAATCAGTTGCATCACTTAATGGTAAACTCAGAAATGATGAAAAAAAAAAGATGAAGAATCTTACCAGTAAGAACAGCGTTAAGCAACAAAACACCCTGAAAAATCATAGTAATAATGTCATGCAATAATTTTTTGTAACAATACCAGTTAAACTTTACATGACATTTCATATGAAATAGAATATAATAGAATCTAAGAAAAAAAAGATTTACTAGCAAACACAAAATATAATCCACCTTAATGCCAAAAAAGTAATAAAAATAACAAACAATAAACAATTGCCTTGATATGATTCCTGCTATGTAATGATTCAGTTATGGATTTATATTATCTCAATGTGTGTTCATATGTTTTATATTGCCTATCATATCACAATTCAGTGCATTGACCTTCTAATAAACCTAGACACAATACAGTACAAAATATGACAATCAAACAATGGAAAAATATAAAACAGTACAAAAATAATCAAGAAATAGAACTGTAAAAATTTCAATGATTGAAGATTTTGCTTGAAAACAATTTTTAAAAAAAAACAAAACAAAACAAAACCTCCATTAAATACAAAAAGTAGTACACATTAGTGGACAAGAAATACACCTGATGAAAAACTAAAAAAAAAAAAAAATACATGGAAAAGTTACAAAACTTTATAGCCAATGAAGGTGTTCATCTAGCTACACATCCTTGAATTCTTTAGCAATCGACATCCAATAGGAGGCCAAAAACTTTACTCTATCCTAAAGGTAGGCCACACTTTAGAGCCAAAAACTATACATTTTGGATCAATTTAAATTAAACAGGGGAAATTGAATTCATCTTCAAGTATGAGGCTGGAAGGGCGTCAGATTTGATGAAGTAAGAAGATCTGGAAGGAGTTTTACCATCTAGTGATTGAGAAGAAGATGGTTGAGAGAGAATGTTTGAAAGGATGTTTTAACAGAAGAAAATTGAACGGGACAGAGGTAGGTTGCCCAAGGGGAAATTATTTCAAGATTCCAAAAAGGGAAATTTGTAAATTCACTCTCTGAAGAGGAAATCTGAAGATGTTGCAGAGATCTTAGTGTATACAATCCGTTAAGAGAGAGAAAAAAGAAAAAAAGAAGCATAAATTGTGCCAAGGACAAAATAAGAGAACATAATAATCATCAAATCTTATAGTAGCCAACTCCAAAGCTTTTTACAAAGCTAAATTATTGGAAGTTCTATCCCAATTTGATTAAACTGAAGCTGAGGATGGTGCTGATTGCACCTACTATTATGTTCACAGCAATGATGATGATTCTTTTGGGATTCCTCTATAAAGGCTAAGCCCAACAATGCAAAATTATTGTAAGTTCTATCCCAATTTGATTAAACTGAAGCTGAGGATGGTGCTGATGTCACCTAATATTATGTTCACAGCAATGACAATGATTCTTTTGGGATTCCTCTCTAAAGGCTAAGCCCAACAATGCAAACGGTCAAAAGTGTGTTTCCCTGATTAAAAAAGACTAGCTAAACCACTAGTCAAGAGATTGGTTGATATTGTTTTCCATTAGTAAAAAGTTAATTGATTAGTCAATGTGACAACTTTTGCATTCATTCTCATCACCTACATAAGATGCATGGTGTACTCAAGCAAATTGAAGTTTAATCGAGTTTCAAGCTGTGAGCTGAATGTTCTCCATAGATCTCGTATCAGGGGCATTTTTATGTTTGCCATTTTGTTCAAACAGACCTTCCATCAATGAAATCTTGAATGTTTTATTTTCTGATTATATCTCAATCGTAATTTTATAATGTTTCTTTTTTTTTTTAAGCATGTGCATATTATACAGCATATCTATACCAAGGCTCCTTTATGGGAAAATAGTGTCTTATGATGGACAGCCTGCCTATCCTATACCATACATGCAAAGCCCCACCCATACTTGCTGCCTTGCATTGTTTGATAGTTTTATAACCTGGACCAAATTTTATTTTTAAAATTTTAAGTCTTTTTGTTTTCTTGATTGTTGTGTTTAATGCTTATACTAGTAGACGTTTGGGCTCTATTGACTGATCTTTTAACTACTGTAGGAACTATTTTATCACCCTTGGGCTACTGCAGAGCAACTATACAGGATATCATACACCTGCTCATTAATGGGATGATACCAGTTGATCCAAACAACCATTAAAGTTTGAGGATTATGCCGTCTACAAGAAATTTCACAACAATAACTTGCATTTGTTTGCTAATTGCTGAAATAACTGGACAGCAACAAAGAGAAGTCTGAAAAGACTACTAAAATTTCTTTGCTTATCAATAAAAATCCATAGATCTT